CATGGAAAAGCAGGTGGAGACAATGGATGGATTCAGTGTTCTTTTAATTTCTTGCTGTATTAAGAACTGTCGATTTCCTATTTGTTTGTCTATATTTACTACATTTACATGAATTTCATATTAAATCATGAAGACAGATTTGATTATTTTCTTTTTGCCAAAAACAAAAATCACACAGACTTATGGAGAATCGATACTGCTTGTACCTAGAATACAGGAGCAACTCTTACCTCGAGCGATAGATACAAGGCAGTACACACACAAGCAGGGTTAATGTATGTCATGCCTTACAACAGTTTGTACCTCAGGGGTTGATGTCTGAGAACATCAGATGGAAGTAAAAATAAGTGACAAGAGAAAAACTAATTACAGCCCTGGGTGTGAGAAAAGGTTGGAAAAAATAAACTTAGATTGTGAAAATGTACTTGTACATTCCCAGATGCCCATAAACACGTCATCTTTACAGGCAAAAATAAAATAAAAATTAAATGAAGTGTGTGCGTGTGTGTGTGTGTGTGGGGGGGGGGGGGGGGTTCTTTAAGTTTGCAGTGTTGATTAATACAGAGAGAGAAAGAGGGGGAAATGTGGGGGGTGATAGGGAGAGCAGCCAAATGACAGAGGCGTGTTTGTGTTCTGATTAGGCTTTGCCAAATAATGGCGGCACACCAATAGACAACCAACAAAGGCATCTCTTCACATGGGACAAATCTGTGAACATCTTTTCAGTCACTAGAAGCGGTTAGATTTCTATTTTAATGTAAAAAAAAAAAAAAAAAAAGGGAAATCTTGCTTTTTGTGACTTTATTTAATATTCTGTTTTTTTTTCATAAGAACCATTTACCTCATTCCATATGTTGAACCTGGCTGAAAAGCTATGTTATCATTTTGTTCTGATGGACTTCCACACTGCATATCTATCCATTCTCACCCAGGCTGCCAAGATGGGATGCACTCAAGCTGAATAAACAATGATGTGGGCTCTTTGGGCTAAGGCAGGCTTCCTGGCATGGGTGTGCCTGCACTCCATTTGGTTTCTCATCTTTACAGTTGACAACAGTGAATAGATCAAATCAGAGGTTGTGAGGAGTAAAGTTTTCTCCTTGGCAGTGAAATGAGGCTGTGATACAGACAGGGGTCCTTTGCCTGGCAACCCTGGCTATTTCCCAGAACAATACTGATGTCTTTTCCTTGAGTCCCCTATGATCCATACACACATGCACACAAGCACCTATAGATCACTCTCACTCAGTAAATGGCATGATCAAAAAACTGTGCCATCATGGGGAAGCAAATTAAAAAGGATAATGTTCCGCTGGTTGAAGGAACTCCTTCATTGGCGTTGGTTAAACCAAAAGGGAAGCATGTTGTAATTTGTCTCTAAATTAAAAAAACATCATATTCCCAGACATCTAATTACAACACTGAAAGAGACAAACAACGGAACCTTGGTGGCAGAGATTATAAACCAGAGAGAAATGATATGTTTAAGAAAGAATGTTAGGGTGCATGCAAAGAGAGAATGTTGTATGCATCTTCTACTGAGTCTTTTTCTTATTTATTTTTTCTATTTTATAATATATATTTGTATATTCATTGGTTGACTCAGACATCTTGCCTTGTCTTGCAAAGAAACAGGAATTTCAAGTTTTAAGTGATATCGTCTTTAGTGTTCATTCAGTGGAATATTACACCCGTCTGACCTCATTGGTGGCCTCTTTTTTTCAAGAATAAAAAAAGATCATCAAGTTACCCCCAACTCAGATTACATCATCTTTAAACCCTTGGACAATGAACCACTAAAGCTCTTCTTAAACATCTAAAATGCAAACTAAAACCTTTAATCACAGAGTTTCACTCTGAATTGAACAGGTAGTTTTGAGAGAGTGAAATCAGCGGAAACAACATGGTAGAGGGTTAACCCAAGTCCCAGTCTGGAAATTCCTGTTGGAGTTTAAATGTTTAGGAATAGCAATGTGGAAAGAAAGAGCAATGATGTTTTAATGACTGTTACAAAACAACCTCTGTGTCCAAAAAAATTATGTGTCTAGTTGGCTAGAGTGATCCAAGACACTTTTGATTTATTTGGGTTCAAGTTGGCCCCTGAATGGCTTTAAAAACAAAACAAAAATGTGGAGTAACAAGAAGTAACTCAGGCTCTGTCTATGGGAGGTTATTGCATGTGGAGTTATGGATGAGAAGGCGACAAATGGCCCTAAGAGAGAGGAGTAAAAAGGAAAATGGACTATAAGGACCGGGTAAATAAGAAGTTGTTTTAGTTTATCCCTGTGGAGACTGCTGTGACAGGGCAACCTGGTATTCTCTCACTTTGACTGTGCAAAGATTAATAGCTCCCCTTAGGTCTGGGTTCAACTCTGTTGATAGTAAAAAAAAAAGTCCCATGTGGCTACATTTGTAGTCACATGCAGCCATGCTAAATGATTAATGATCAATTAGTTTTTTTTCAGGTCTTGTCTGTCTTTTATTTGACATAATTTCTGTTACTGATTAATATTATGATTTATATAAACTGCAAAAATAAAATGGGAACAGATGAGCTGGGCCTTGCGTAGCAGTTTCTGACCTGGGATCAGCCTAACACTTTTATCTAGAAACCCTCATCACTAAGGAACCATCCACTATGACCCCCCCCCCCCCCCCCCCCCCCCCCCCTGTCTTTTTAATATTCAGCTTTTACAATATTCTGACACAGACAAATACAGACATGTCTCTAATTAGTTGTAACAACAGGATGGAGACATGTTTTTTTCTCATATTTTCTTGGAATATGCATTATTCTAAAACATTGAAAATGCAAATAGCTCATTAGTAATTAGGATGTAAACAGACCTAATATATGATAATTGGCTTAAAAAATTAAAAAGGTTACACAATGCAGCTATATTTTACTCTCATTCTGTTCCAATGTCATTACTGATAGTAAGACAAAAGTACACAACAATGGCTTGATGAGACCTCCCGTTTAATGAGACTTTTCTGTAACTTTTGTATGAATTCCTTAGGAAATAGGTCTCCCATTCATTTCCAAGCATCCCCTTTTTTTCCCCCCCCAAAACGTTCCATCCCTTGCCGACCAAAATTCTCTGCCCACCCCCTGCCAATAGCTGTCCGTGTCCCACTTTGGGTCCTGGCACCCCTCTGAACATTTTGGATATCAGGACTCCTCCCCCACCCGCCTCAAATTCCCATCCTCCTTCCTTACCAACCCGCACACACACACATACCCGTTTGATTGTGATTGACAGTGTCTTTGTTCCATTGTGTGGAGCTGTCGCCTCTGATGAAGACACATACTCAGAACTAAGGGGTAGATTTTATTGTGCTCTACTCAGACTCTACAGGTTTAGCACCAGTTGCACCGTCCTCTCAGAATGAGTAAAGTAACTCTCAGTTAATACAACTTGCTAGGGTTTAATACTATGGCATGAACTGAAGTATCTTGTGTTAAGTCAGTGTATGCTACGGTGAACAGACAACGCTATGGTAGGCCCAAAGAAGTTCGGCCCAAGACCAGGCGGGTATGATGGGCTATGGGGGCCAGCTGGAGAGGGAGTCTCAAGGGTGTGCAATGTGTCTGAGGTTGTCATTAGTTTTAACCCCTCCTCAGGGATGGGAACCAGGTCACATTCTCTCACACGGCACAAAGCAGTACATATGTGTGTGTGAGGGTTGGGGGGTTCAGGGGAGGGATTCTGATGGGGTGGTGGGGGAGGCCATGGGGTGGGGGAGGCCATGACCTCTTTATATCCATCAACTGATCACCAAGTTGGCCCATAGGCATGCTCATGCAACACATTCCCAAACACACACACATATTATCATGCATGCAAATGTATGCTAATATGTGTGCATGTGCACACCCAGGCACACTCACAAAATGCATATGCAAGGTCTAGAATGGGCTCTGCAGGTGGCCTTATATGTGTGTTGTATGAAAATATGTTCCAAAAGTCTTTGCCTGCTAATATATATATATATATATATATATATATATATATATATATATATATATATATATATATATATATATATATATATATATATATATATATATATGTTTTTAACAGTTCATCTTGCAATAATGCAACATCAACAGTCATACATAACCTTTAAGACTGATTAATTTGGGAATACGCATTAATATATATATATATATATATTTTTTTTTTTTTTAGCTTTTACATGTGATGCTTTCTTCTGTTTAGTTTTCTAAAATAGACTGGTGCTGTCTTTTTGTTTGCAACTGCTGAACTGAAAGTCAGGCTGCATTAATTTACTCATCTTTTAACAGTTCATCTTGCAATAATGCAACATCAACAGTCATACATAACCTTTTTAAGACTGATTAATTTGGTAATATGCATTAATATATATATATATATATATATATATATATATATATATATATATATATATATAGCATCACATGTAAAAGCTAAATAAAAAAAATCTATGGCAATGTTGCAAGGACAATATCAGGGAGAGACACTAATGGGCTGGAATATCAAAACTCTCAAACATATACATACAGATGAATGCAATAGGACAGATGAGCATTGATTATAAAAACAAGCATTATTTTTGTATTAAAGCGTGAAAATGGACAGTTTTTCAGTCGTTGCAAAGCCAAAAACAGTAAAACACTGCCCCCTATTGGTACAAAATCTGTCATGCAGATACTTTATCTTTTAGTTTGCATTTTTGACAAAGATGACCTTTCTTGTGGTAAGTCAAAAAAACTTTATTTTAAAATCAATCTTCAAAATGAAAACAAAAATCAAGCTTGGACCTGTTTGAACTTTTTAAAATAAAGAAAAAACAAACAAACATTTCATTAACCAAAAGATTAAAAATATGATTAAACAGCAGTTATGACCACAAGTAAACTACAAAAAGTTGACATAAAATTATCAAGACACATAAAAAGCAGAATTGTATATTCTGACTCTGTAATAAACGTCTGAGCAAAAAGTTATCTTGGCTACAAAGTGTTACTAACCCAACGTTTCTTACAATTTCCTTGTTTCACATGTTAACTGAGTTCAGTTTGTGCTTTTGTACTAGTCCATAAGATTTATATATCATGTTTATTCCTCTGTGCTTCTCTTAAAAAAAAGAGAGTGATATATGGTGGGGTTTTTTTTCATAACATTATGCAACAGGACAATATTAGCATTTTTGTATCCCTATCATGTGACAAATTTTTCTCTAATTAGGGAACCCTGGATATACCATCTCCTCAGAAGAAAAAATGTGCAATTGCGCGTTATCGTCTGTCAAAGCTTATCACAGTAATATCTTAGAACTACAAGTAGCTCTCTCACTTTGAGCTTTATGTCGTACATTACCTGCTCAGCCCAGAACCTTGCATAAAGACTCTAAGGTTTTGTGGCAGCGTAATACTAAACACTGTATTTATGGAGAGATGGTGCGTCTGCGCAGGCAGCTACATGTCAGGCATTTCAGGATGCTCATGGTGATGTGCATGAGAGGACCAAAATTAAAGAGCAAGTTGTAGAAGGTGTTCACAGAGAGGCCGCCGGTCTCATCTGCGTATTTTAAGGCCACGATGGGCGTGTAGAGGCTGTTGGTCAGATTCCTAAAGCGAGGCCTTTCTGACTCAATAATCTTTTTAGTGCACTGGAGAAAGAAAACAGTAAATTAGAGATGAGGATTGTGATCATTTAACAACTCAAACTTTAAAACCTGAACAAGTTGGTCAAACAGACTCCCATTGCCTTACTTTAGCTATGTCCTCTGGAGTCTGGCCCATGGCTTCAAATATATCTATGGACGATGGAAGGTAAACATCTTTAAAATATCGAACTGTGTCTGCATCAACTCCTGGAAAATCCATCTTAGCCACGTCTTCCATCATTTTCGTCTCAAACTCAGTGTGCACAGGGCCAGGCTCTATCATCGACAACCTAATGCAAGTGGACACAGAAAGGTATTGATGAAAAGAAAGATTAAATATATAAGTAGATCAAGAGAAGATTGACCAAAGGAGTGAGGTCAGTTTACCGGATATTGAACTTCATCAGCTGCACAGCCATACTTTCACAGAAGCCTTCCATTGCAAACTTAGAGGCTGTATAAACATCATTGAACACCACCCCTGGTTTAAGAACAAAACACAGCCGAATAAAGGATATGAATCAATAACACTAAATCAGTAAATTACAGGAACGCCTGGAAAAAAATAGAATACAGAAAAGGATCAATACTTTTGTTTCTCATTACAGAAAGCCAAACTTATTCTATAGATGCATTAAAAAGAGTGAAGTATATAATTTTCTTTTATTTTAAATCATTATAGCTATAGATAATAAATTGCCTTAGAAAATCTGAATACTGAGAAAAGGTGAAATCTTGGAAATCTATGGTCACAGTCTAATCTGCTCAAAACATCTGCAAATTACCTAAATGATGATGCATCAGAAACAGGGATGACCACAGACTTGGGAGGATTGTCAATTTACATGAATGTAATAATTTTACAACTCAGGGTGGAATTAGTACATCGAGAGTCACTATGCAAAGACAAATCAAGTGTCTCCTTTAAGTTAAGAAGAAACAGAAATGAACTGAAGCTCAGTGGTCCAGAGTCTTTTTTAATGCTTGCATTTCATTTGGAAATCATGAGTGGACAGACACCAAATATTTTTTTATTAAAGTTCAATATGAGGTTTCCACAGTCAGTCCTGATTTGGGTTGTAATGTCACCTGCTGGTATTTGTCTAATACATATTATAAAATCTGTAGTAAATAGAGCCCTTTACCAGGAAATTTTAAAACACCTCATGTTTCCCTGTGCTAATTAACTTTACCAGAAGCTGGTTATATGAAGCCTGGCCAGCCAAACTAATTTATGCTGTGTACACAGCATTATAGTCTGGAAAGGAACGGGCAGAGCCTGATATCAAAGGTGGGACTAACACAGCCAGCGGAAAAAAATAGAACTAATCAGATAACCACTGATGTGAAGCAAAAACATCTTTTTTTAAAAGAAAAGCTCTTAGAGCAGCCAGATGCTTAATATTTAACAATATAAAGAGCTCTTTTGGGACATAACAAAGGGTATCAATAAAATATTACTCCTTTGCAGCTGCGATCTTGACTGTTATGGTTCCAGAAAAGGGCTGCTGCATTATGGACCCTCTTCCCACACTATACTGATCTAGTATGTTCTAAACTGTAAAGTATTAAGCCTTACAAGACTGACTTATACACTTTGCAAGTCAGTCTGGCTGATCGTTACTGTGCTTGACTGAACCACATAGAGAATCTTCAGAGTACTGTCAAGAGGAAGACATGGTACGCAAGAACCAACAACATTAAAAAAACAACCGCCCATGGCTCTGCTGGTTTTACGTCAGCAGAGCCATGGGCTGTTTGTCTCCATAAAATCTCACACAGATGCTTAGTTTTTATTGATTTTATATTCTAATTTTATAAGACAGATAGTGATTTCACTATTTGTAAGCTATAATCATAAAAAATGAAAAGAAAAAAGGCCTTGAAATATTTCACTATGTGTTATGAATCTCCAAAACATTTTGTAGTGAGTGACTAAGAATGCTGAACTTTTTCCAGATATTCAATTTCATAAGAAGTACCTAGACAATCCGCATCTAGAGGGGAACACTGAGCAACCATATGAGAGGTAGTTAACATATAGCTGAACCCAGATATGTATACTGTATGAAACAATGCAGCCTTTGTATTTCCTTTCAATCTGACATTAAATCAGACTAAATATTTATGTTTTAGGTAATTTGCAATAAGCAAAATTATTTTTATTTACTAAATGTTAAATTAGTAAAAGATAAACCTTTTTATGTTTTACTTTGTTCTTTAAATTCTTAAATTGACATTCATATCTGTTTTACAGGCAGTTGATGTCATGATCTGGCCTGTTTGCTATACCTAATTAGTAATTCCTCTCACCTGCCGTTTTCCCTCCCTGCCTCAATTATAATTTATTCCTCTCACCTGTTTCCCTCTGGTTTATATGCAGTTCAGCCTGAGCATTCAGGGCCAGATCATTGCTTGTCTTTCTGTCAGTCTTTCTGTTCAGTTTTATTTTATGGTTCATGTCCTGGATCCTAGCGGCCAGTGCAAAGAGGATTTTAATGTTTGTCTCGTCTCCTGATTGTCCACTGTTCCTCCCCTGCGGAGTCCTCTGGGTTTTGGCTCATTATGGGGGGAGGTTCAGCTTTTATCCAGTAAGCCTGGCTCCAGGGAGGAGACCAGTTTAAAGTCCTGCTTCAAGTTCCGGTTCCTACGTCCTGTCTCGGCTACCCTCTTCCACTGTGCCTGCCTGTCTGCACCTGATCCTGTCTGCTCCTGTGCCTGACCACCTGGTCATGCTTCTGGTCCCAGTCAGACTCTGAACCCTCCTGGAAGCCTGTGCATGTCTGGAAGTCTGGATCCTGCCACCTGTTTCTGTTCCTGCCTGATCTGGATTCTGCCTGTTCGGTCTGTTCCTGTCTGTTCTGGATCCCTCACCAGGATCGGCTTCCAGCCTCACCTCTGGGACTGCCGCACTGGGGACATTCGTGGTCTGGACTGTTAAACCAGGTAAGTGACCAACACAGTTAATCTTATATCAGTTTATCGTGGTCACTTACCTGTGTTTCCTCCCTAGAGTGTGTGAGATTGGGCGGTGCCCCGCCCCCCGCCTGCAGCTTCCGCGAGCCACAGCTCCGCTTTTGTTTTCTTTTATTTAATAAACGTTTGAACTTTCCTACTGACTGTCTCTCCTTGAATACTGGGTCCATCTGTCCTCGGTTCATGACAGTTGACCCAGAATCCTGCTGCCCACATCCTCACTAAAACTAAGAAAGTGGAGAACATTATTCCAGTTCTGGAGTCCTTACACTGACTCACCATATCTAATACAATAGACTTTAAAAGGCTTCTGTTCATCTGTAAATCCCGGGTAACAAAACATATAGCTTAGTTGTTGTCACTGTACCAACCGCCCAGACCTTTCAGGTCATCTGCCTTAAATCAGCTCTAAATAGCCAGAAACTAACATAGAGAGGCAGCATTTAGTTCTTGTGCTTCACTAATCTGGAATAAACTCTCAAACTGTAAAAATTGCTGAAAACCTAAATTGCTTTAAATGAATATTAAAAACACACTTGTTAAGAGTGAAACATTTTTAGTTACCAGCCCCACTTTCCTTTAATTTCTTTTTTTTATTATTCATTTTATCCTTTTTAATTTAGTCATTTAATTAATAATTTATATTACCTTAAATTATTTCTGCTGCCTTTATGCCACTGAAATTTACTTTTTTTTTTTTTTAAGTATAGCGTTTTGAATTGTTTTACCATTGAAATGTGCTATATACTTAATCTTGCATCGTCTTTAAAATGTAGGACTGGTTTCTAATGTTTTATTTATACTTTTACAAGCTTCTTGTAGTATTTTGCTAGAATTGTGGCCTACTCTTCTTGACAGAACTGGTATAACTTTTTTCAAATGCCTTTTCAGGTCTGCAACAATTTTTTTCAAGGGGGCTAAGATTATGGCTATGTGATGGCCTCTCCAGTACCCAGACTCTTCTGTTCTTAAGCCACTTTATAACTAATTTGTAGTTCCATTTCCACAAGGAAGAATCATTTGTGCCCAAGCTTTAAAATCCTGGCTGATGTCTTCAAAATGATGCTTCATTATTTCCACATAAGAGCGTTTTCTCATGATGACATCTATTATGTGAAGAGCATAAGTCCCCTCCACAGCAATACACCACAACATAACACTGCTACCATAATAATCTAGGGTTGAGCTTGTGTTGTCCGGTTTTCCAGCTTCCCCTGGCTGATAGCGGATGGAAGGCCTTTTCTTAAGGTGGAACCAGGAATAACGTACAGTGAGGTGGGAGATGATATGAAAATATGAGAGGCAATGATGGCATTAAGGTTTAAGATAGGCATTAAAGTGGTAATAAGGAAATTGGAGAACTGGGGAAATTAGGTGATGCTGCTTTGTGTATTAACCAGAACGTTTGCCCCAGGCGTCCACATTCAAACAGATACATCTAAAGAATAGCTTGATGTATGTGGGAGTCCAAACTGTTCCAGAGAAATAAATGATATGAGGTGAACAGAAATAATAAAAGTCCCATGAACAACAACAGACATGTCTCCAAAAATCTGCCTTTACTCTATTATTGCCCAAATCTGGCCTTTTATTGCCTTTTGGAATAATAGAATTTACATTTTTAAGTGACCTTTCAGCCATTAAGTGATCAAGTTTTGTTCTTCCGTCACAAGGACTTTAGCTTTGTTCAAGGGTTAATAGGTAGATTTTCCAGAGCGCATTGATTGTTCTCTGGGCCACAGACCTAGCTCCATTTCTACATGTAATGGAACTGACTATTGGGGTTTATATTCATTTTTAAATTTACCTTATAAAGGTGTTGCTTTTAGGTGTCAGCAAGCTTTCCTGTCATATTGCATAATGTCCCAAAATAAGGCAATGTGTTAAGTTATTTTAAAATACTGCATATCAACAGGTGTTATATAAATTCACTTAGGTGTGTTGGGAGCTGGAGAAAATCCCATCTTTCTCCAGCAGAGTCCGCCGTGGATCCTCTGAGGGAGCCTCCTGCACAGCTGCAGCTCATCTAGATCATCAGAGGATCCACTATATAAGCTGTCTTCAGACCTTGCCTCAACGCCGCAGTGTTGTTCCAGTTGGTCAGCGCTAAAGCCTAGATCTTTGTGTAATCTCTATGACTTTGAATCCAGGCTGGATTCTAACCACCCTCTCTGTGTTTCCAGGAAACCCGTGTCTCCTCTGTGAAAGCTCAGGTAGAGCTAACCTGCCGAGCCGACCCTCTGAGCCAAACCCTGAAGATTCTCTGAGAACCTCCAAGCAGCTCTGGACTAGGGCTGGGAAACCAAAGCCAAGGTCTGTTCAAGCTAGACGTGAGACGCTGAAGCAGCAAGCGGACTCTGCTGACAAACTCTTCTCCAGAACCAACAGTGACTCTCCCAAAGAGAATCTCAAGAACCCTCAAGGTACAATCAGAGTTCACTTGGAAACCAAATCCTGTCAGCAGTCTATAACCGCTCTGTCTCTCACGCAGACTCCGGTGAAACCAGAACCCAGGCCCGAACCAGTCATCTGTACATTCTGTGTGTTGTGCATAATAAACTGTTAAACTTTTCATCCTTGTGTCCGTCAGTGGTGTTCTGCATAATTGGGTCTCCATTTGAGAACCCATCATGACAAGGTGAAGCTTACTAAGCCAGCTTAATTAGTTTTAATATAAGACTTTGTTTTGAAGAATCAACAATTAGCGATTGTTTCTTCATCAGTACCAAGTGTTAGGCTAAACTAACACCTTTTTCTTGGATCGTATTTGAAAAGTTTTTTAAAAGGACATTTTGAGAATTCATACCTTGGAGACCCATTACACTGCTCATGACCACAATGTGTCCCGAACGCCTCTTCTTCATGTCTGGCATCACTTCTTTGATCATACGAACCACTCCGAAGAAATTGGTGTCAAAAACTCGTTTCATTTCATCAATGCTGATGCTTTCCACGGGTCCAAGCAAGCCCACACCTGCGTTGTTGACTGAAAAGAAGCACAGAGACAGAGAGATGACTCCTCTCCTATGGTACTGTATAACAGTGTCAGCCTTTAAAAATCTTCATCAGTTAAGTCTCTTCTTGTTAGAATAAACACAGATTGATCACCTAAGCTATGACCCGCTCATGCCACCAGATGTCAGTGTGTGACAGTTTTGGGGAGGTGTGATGTAACAGGAGTCCTTGCTTAGGGGCCTCTGGGTTTTGAGTAATTATGTGAAGGGGGTGTAATGCGGGATGGAAGCAGGTTTATAAATAGATGCTTTATCCAGACTAAAGGTTTTAACAAGTACTCAAAAGAGGTTCTTGCTCAAGGGTCACTAATCTGAAAACATGCCACACACTGCAGATTAAAATTCATTAAAGTGTGCTATTGACCAAACAGATAATCTCAGTTTTGGTATTATTCCCCTTCTTATTTTTCCATTTTAGAGAGCCAATAAGAAAAATAAAGTGCTGTAAATAACAAAGTTTAGAAGCTGTGTTTTTTTTTTTTATTGAAATGCCTGATGATATACGATCTTGCTCTTTCTTTGGGTGCAAAATTTAACTGGCCACTGGAATTTCAAGACTTCCAGTCCCCTCCTTCCACCCACTCAACTGCAAAACCACAGCGAGTGAAACTACAGCCTCGCTTCAGCCTGAGACGCTGGTGTAATAAGCCTTTACATACTTTAATAACAGTTAAATTATTAAAAAGGCTGTATTAAACACTGAATATTGCAACAGGGAAGTAAGAGCATCTAAGCTATTGCTAATTAAAGTTATGACTAAAAATAATTATGAACTGTTTTAGACTACATGGCAAAAGAAAATGCAGATGTTTAGTTAATACAGTAGGGATTAATAGATATTTAAGCAGTTTATAGTGATCCTTTGTGTGCAACACTTACTTAGAATATCAATGTGGCGGTCTTTAACATTGTTAATGCACTCCTTCACAGAGTCATCGCTGCATACATCTAATTGGAGCAACATCAGGGTCTTCCCATATGCATCTCCAGCTGCTTCCAGAAGTTTATCCTTCTTCTTTAAGTCTCGCATGGTAGCTATAACTGGTTGATAGAGACAAAAAGTAATGAATAATTAAAAACGGCATAAAACAACTTAAAAATCCTCTAAATCAGTTAACAACACTTAAAAATCCTTCCATACTGTGCTAGTTTTTTAACATGATTGTAATTTTGGAAATAATGTGGGATCAACAATGTGTCGCTTTTGCTTCCTTAGTCCAAGCAAATATTTGCAGACTGCATTTTAGAGTAAATAGTTTTTCTGATTAAAGCACCAAAAATATTGGGGCTATTTTAGATTAATCAAACAAATACATTTTTTAATTAAAAGAGAGAGAAAACTCACAATACAGTCCCCTGAAAAAAACATATTTATTCACTTTTCTTTTATTCAAAATATATTTTTTTCATTCATCTCCAGTTACAGGGCTGCTTTACAGCAGCATGTGCCGCCAACTAATCTAAACAGATGTGCAGGACACACTGAACTAGAAGATAATTACTTTCTGACGCAAACAACAGTATATGTGAGTCACTGAAATGTGGTCAGAGAGACCAAAGGACTCCACAAGTAACTGAAACTTTCAAACTGGAAGCATCAGCAGAAAAACACTTGTATAGTGTTTGTGAGTGAAACCCAGGGGAGGGGAGGTCAAAGTTCTTAAAAGGAGGACACACCTGTAACAGGACACAGATCGTATTTCCTCTGAACTTTAAACACAGGACAGCACTAACCTACATACAACGCAGAAATCCATCACATGCAGCAGCTATCAGCAAAGTGCTGCTGGGGTTTTGTTGGCCTCTTCCTCATCCTGTATTTAGATGTTGCTTAACAGGTGAATGAGTGACAGCACTATTGCACGATGACAATAAGCAGAAGCAAACAACCTTTAATCCTACATTCAGTCTACCTGTTGTCCTTCATAGATAAAAGCAAGGTCTAATTTAATTCCTCTATGAACATAAACAGAGCTTGATAATTAAGTTAAAAACGAGACCAGCCCCTTTAAGGCAATATTTCATCAAGCTTGGAAATGAAGGAGGACCTTTATCTTTTAAATGTCTTTGTATTGGCTGTTGTGCATACACCTTGTTAGTTAGCTATTATTACTATTTACAAAGCTGGTGTCTACATAAGCAACAGAAGGATTTACATGTTGAAAGAGAGGTAAACAAGGGACCCATTGTTCTCCTGGTTCCTGAAGGAAATACTTCTGGGAAGCTCAAACATTCTAGAAAGAGCTGCATTTGAGGGGGAAAAAAACAAATCTGTTACTAGAGCCGTCTTTAAGCTCACTTCATGCCACTGCAACTAATTGTTACTCAATGCACAATGCGATATCTGGTCACTGATGGGTTCTCTAATCAACAGGGTTGAACAGCTCTCTTGTTCAGCTGCGCTTGACTGAAAGCAGCTCACAGTGAGATTTACACTAAGGCTGTGGTGGGAGGGGGGAAAGGGAGCAGTGAACTGTTTTTGTTTTGCTCATCTATTTCACAGCAATACATATCTTCAGATCCCAGTGGTTCAAAGCAGAAAGAGGGATCTTAAACCAAATGCTGCAAAAAAAAAAAAAAATGTCAACACTGATAGTAACGGCTTCATTGACCTGTGACTGTAACTGTAGGATACAGGCTATAACAGAAGTGATGGATGGTTTATCTTCTGACACATTCATTGTGAAACGACAAACAATATCAGTTTTGTGGAGATTCACAGCCAATGCAAAAATCCTTTCATGGAAAACTCCCACAGTGGTGTCTCACACACTGAGAGGTTCCACAAAGCAAGAAAAACAAAAAAACAAAAAGAAGATTTTGAATTCAGTCTAAATCTCTAAACTCAGATTAATGATGTCTGGGAAGCTGAGAGGAAACATTCAGACAGACAATGTCAGAGTGGGACACCACAGCTCCCCTGTGTACCAATGGAGACTTCAAACAAGGCCCCTGCTCTGGAGTGAACTCATGCTTGTACAGGTCTCAAACTTTGTCCCCCCTTTTCACACTGGCTCCAGTGCAGGGACTATGGGCACATTAGACACGGCACTAAACTGGAGCAGGCCCTCTACAATTCACAGCAATAAAAGAGGGCTTTGTGCAGGAGAAGTCACTTGAAAGAGGAACTGACAAGACTCCTTTTCTGAATCCTGCCTGGCAAGCGGCATCCTTGCAGAACCTTGTGGAAGCAGTCCTTTGGGATGACAATGGATGAGCCTATATGAACACTGTTAAAATGGGCTCCACGAAATATCAAGTATGAGCGCGTTCAGTCAAAACAAACTGTATGGGGTCGCGACACCAGAGTGTTGCAGGAAAGTAAACACGGACAAAGTAGACTTTCAAACGACCCCTTCTTACAGCCCTGCAACTGATAGGTCTGATCAAAGAAACAATGAAGAATAAAGCGTATTTCTTTTTTTTTTTTTACCATGGTAACGCTTCTTTTCATCTTTGGCCAGCGTGACAGCGATTCGTAACCCGATGCCAGAGGAGCAGCCGGTGATCAGCACAACTTTCTGCCCACTGTTCGCCATGTTCCGCTGTGTTTTCCAGCGCTGCTGCTGCTGCTGCTGCTGCGGGAGCCACCGATCACCGCACTTTTAAAAAACTAAAGCGGATCATGAAACCTCTGCGGCCATGTGATTGCTCAGTCACATGGTCATGTTGATCGCAATCTGGAACCCAAAACGACGTGACATAAGACCTTCTGGAGTTTAGATCTTAATGGGTTTCTATCGACTAGGGGGGAAAAAAGCGGTGCCCTGTTAATCCTGCAGAAAAGTGCGGACGTGCACGCGCGCAAGTGCGTGTTTTTGTGAGGGGGCAGAGCTTATTAGATTTGTGAGCTGTTGACCCCACCAACACATAACTGTAATGTTCACTCAGTATTCCTGCAATATTTTATTAGTGCAGATACTATATTGTTGTTTTCCAGCTAATATTTGGATAAATAGTTGAAGTAAACGTTAAGCATAAATATCCACTTGTTTATTTTACATTCAATTTTCATATTCTTGATTAGAATTGTATTAGCAGCAATACTATTATCTTTGGATTTTGTTCTATATGGATTAGTTGTAACTCAGCTCCTCTGACCTGTTTTCAAAGTGGTGTTAAAAATGAAGCTTCGTTCACTGTGCTGTACTGCCATCTTGCGTTAAGAAGACAAATTGTACAGTCAGGCTACACGTTTAGTCGATTAGTAAACTTCTCCAATTGCAGTAGGCAATAAGAGGTCAAACTTGCCAAGATATGAACTCAGCCAATTCTTTCTTTTCTCTTGTGGAATCCTGCAGCTCCCTGAAAAAGCCTGTCTAGTCTTGGCCTGCTGCTAAAAGTGATGCAATCGCTTGCAAACTTCAGTATAAAGCTTCTGGTGTCAGACAGATGAGTTTTCAGTAGGGAACTTTGCAGCACACGCATACATAAGTAGGGCTAAGTAGTTCAAATTGTACTAATAAACTGGGCTGTTTGAATTTGAACAGGGTGCCAGATATTATGCATGTTTTACAATTTTAGTTCTAATAATACCATATGTTAGTTTTTCAAAATGATTTAACTTAGTTTTTTTTTTCTAATTTACTGGGGAAGAAGTGCAGCTACTGCTTACTGAAGAAGATTAGGGCCACTGAAAAGAAAGTTAACTGATTTTTACATTTTATTTCAGTTTAATATGGAAAAAAAGTCAGAATTCTGATTTTTTTCTCAGAATTCTGACTTTAATCTCAGAATTCTGACAGCTAACAAACATGTTAGCATCAAGCCATAGCCATGTCTGTTTTAGAGACTAACTCTCTTGTTTTAATGACCTTCTGCTCCTCCATTAATGAGGGGACCCCTCGGGCATGTAAAAAGTAGCCTAATTCTGTAATTTTCCACCAATGTGTCACTGGCCTTCTCAAACAACTCACATCTTTGTCAGTAAAGCTGAGTGCTCTTACATCTCCTCCTTCATGGTGCCAATCTAAATTAAGACCCAAAATTCTAAGATTAAAGTCAGAATTCCTAGATTAAAGTTAGAATTCTGAGAAAAGTCAGAATTATGAGATTAAAGTCAGAATTCTGAGAAAAAAATTAGAATTCTGACTTTTTTCCTGTATTAAACTGAAATAAAATTTAAAAATCAGTTACTTTTTTTTCTTTTTCCAGTGCCCCTAATCCTTTTCTGTAACTGCTAGAGACAGAGGTGTAGCCAGAAAATTTTAATAGGGGTGGCCAGTCAAAAACCAATGTGAACTGAGGGGTGGCCAAAAGCAGATAGGCGCCAGAACATCAGGGTCCATCTACACTGTTCCAACAGGAACAAGCACAACATCCATATTTTCAAAATAAAGTCAAACTATGCTTTCCTACAGCTTTTTGATTACAAATAGACGCAAATATTTAAATGTCCATGCTGTCTAAAAGGTATAATGGACAAAATGTCTGGGGAAAACATATTTTCCACTGTCATTACTTACCCACTTTTATCAAAAATTGTTCTGCATAGCATTAATATGACATGTACTATTATCATGTACTATTAAGTTATTATTAAAGTAGTTATTTATCTATGATTTCACTGAAAACTCCTTGATGACTAGCAGAGACACAATTTTCTCTTTACCCCATATAACACAAAATTAGGGTCTTAAAAGAGCATGAATTCTGTATATATAAACTTTAATGTTAGTATTTTGATGTGCATAATTAACCACAGCGTTTAGTTGTCAAGTAACTATTAATATATGAAAAAATTAAATGTTTAATAAGTTTAAACATTCCTCTTGATAGTATTACTGCTGCCACTGTCTGTATTAGATGGCGGAAAAAAATGGTAGGGGTGGCCACAGGGGTGGCCAATGAGAGGCTAAGGGCGGCCATGGCCACCTCTGGCCCCCCATCTAGCTCCACCCCTGGCTAGAGAGGTTTCCTTCAACAAGACACACTTTATTTGACCAAGTTGCTATAGGAAAAAAACAGTAATTAAACCGGACAGTAACACGGTAAAGGAAAAACTAATGAAGGTATTCTAAAAGTACTTCCTATTGAGTTTATACTTTAAAAAAAAAGTGACTTGTGCTCCTAAAATAAGCTAACTTTCAAATTATATTATTTTTCACTGAATATGATGCCTTCTGAGTTCTGTAGTCTAATATGCAGTGTGGGTTTTTAAACCTAAAACAATTTAGTTTGCATCAAGTATTTTGTTAAAATCTAGTATGTGTTTTTCATTGATTGTTTTGTTTTTTTCAGTCGGAAATAAAACATAAAACATGTTGTTTATTTTTATTTGATGGTTAAAACTCTCCAAACAGCAGACTTTCATTTAAAAAGATACATTTTTATTTATTATACAACATGTATTAAAACTGTCCTTAGCCTCACTATCCCCTCTCAGCCCCCACGCTGAAAATACCAACCATCAAGTCAGAGTTTATCTTAACTGCAGTATTTTCACTGACGTGAAAATGTACATATTTTATGCAAAGCTACATTAATATTAGATGTTTATTTTCAACTGGAAATGAAAAACCGAGGGAATGTCACATGCATAGAAACATTTCAGAGAAGAAAAGCTTTTTCTTGAGTTGTAGCCTAATATTAACATACTAAAATAAGATGAATGATTCTGCACAATAAAGGAAACTGAGGTTTCTCCAAAATCATCTAGCTCTGGATAGGGTGCAACAGGAGCAGTGTTGTCCACTGGAACAACGTTCAGGGCATTCCTCTCATGCTTTGCAAGGTGCGTCTAGTTAAAGTAGAGAACTTGAAAGGAGATAAGAACGGCCAGAAAGGGATGGGTGTCCATCAGCCTTCAGGCTATTAATGGGGGATTTTAACATGTTTGAGATACTAAATGAGATTAGAAAGACAGAACAAAGAGGAATAATGCATGCCTGTGCTTGCTTTTAGTATTTGTAAGCCCACTCTAAGGTTCATGTCCCCCTTTTTCTCAACAAGATGTGTATAATGTATTCAAGTTTCCCTAAACTTCCCCAGAACCTTTCACATTTGCCCTGGAACTTCTTAATATATTCCAACAGTGCTTTGAGCTCAAATCTTCTCTAAGTTTATTGGAAATTCAAACTCTCCAACAATGATTCTCAAATAGCTCCTTTATTCAATAGTGTAATTATCAATTTCCTGTGAGCTGCTTATTAGGATGCTTTTCCAGTTGGAAAGTCAGATCTGGGTTTACCCGGCAACATTAAAAATGGGTTACGGTATTAGAGATGTTGTTTTGGGTAAACAAAGCAAGTTGAATACTTATTATAACCATTATTTGCTTTGAGCATCAGACTCTCTGTTTAGTCAGACTCTTTGTTCGCTTAGTATGGTAATAATATCTCTGGGCAGCGTTTATGAAAAAGAGAGATAGTAGGTGATGCCGCTCAAAGGATGAGGCACTATTGAGACCTGGAATGTTTGCCATAGTTCAGGAGCCACGCTCTTTGCTCTTTTGTGTGCAGTCTGCAGACAAGGTGTGGAATGCAAGCTCCATGAGGATAGAGGAGAAACAAAAAAGAGAAAGAAAGAGTAGTTGGGGGTCAGAGCTTGGAAGAAAACCAGACACATAGCAGAAGGAGAATTTCAGATATACAGACAGCCAGATCTTGCAAAATAGGCAACACAACACTGTAACAAAGGTACCACACAAGTAAACACAACCTTTCTTTGAATTTTCATAATTTCATAAACACATTCTTTAAACTTTCATGTATTAATTTAGTAAAATATTTTGATCAGAAGAGAAATCCTGGTATGTGCTCCAAAGACCCATTTTGTCAGCTCCGAAACAAGCCAAAAACAGCTGACCGAGATGGGTTGTCATTAAAGAACGACACAAACCCAATATAAAGACAGATGAAAACAGATAATGCAATTTTTTAACTACAACTGTCCTAAAACATTGGATTTTTAACTTAATTTCTAAAAGCAGTTTCAGTATCCCTTGTCACCACATAATGGACTCTCCAATCAAAGCAAAAAAGTTCATGTAACCACTTGAACATGTTGCAAAACTAATCAAATTAGATCAAGTGGTGGTGTACTTTCATGTTTTCCTAATTCACATGACCTTAGGTTCCATTTGATAATTTGATGTCTTCATTGTTTACAATGCAACAGCCATGCTTTAAGATTATAATCACTTAAGATAAAGTATAAGCTTGTGGTCACAGGTTAGCTCATGTAACCTTTTTATTTAGGATTTTTCCTTTAAAATACATGCTTCTCAGATGCTTTCTGGCTCACCATCTCCCTTTAACCATATGTTTTTCTATAATCCAAATAGCACAGTTTGGGTGCTTGATTAAGTAATTTACTAGTTTAGATAATTTCTTTAGGACACAGTGTATGAAAAATAAAACTTTTTAGATATTTTTGTGACACCTAAATCATTTTATTGGCAGAATGAAAGCGTCTGTAGCATCTTCCCTTGGGAATCTTATATTTTCCTTTTCCTGAAAGCTGCTCTGGTGTCCTGTTAAGGCATGCTCTCCAGGCAATGAATAAACTTCATGCAAACTCAATCTAAAGCCAATTTCACAATCTCTAATCTTTGCTCATCTGCTACTCAGCAAAACGCTTGACAGTAGGGCCTGCAGGGCAAGGTAATGACTGACAACTTCCATGCTAACTTTTACTGGATAATATGAAAAGTGTAGATTTATTCTTCCGGAAAAGAAAAACAGAAACGATTTCAGTTTCAAATGCAGTATCTCATGTGCTATAAAAGTGCAACTAAATGATGAAACTTTTTTTTGAGGTGATAAATGATTAAAATGGTGTGCCACTAG